TCTTTTCATGCTTGTCATCCAACTATTACCCTCCTACAATCTGAACCAGGATCAGATTACATCCACACAATAAAATAACATCACTCACCGACAGTCATCACCAGCTTTTCGAAGAATTTGTTGCTGTGTGTTTTGTCAGTGCTTTCTGCTCCACACCAGTATGTCCCAGTGTCGTCTGTTGTTACGTTTCTCACTGTTATGGTGATCTTTCTCTTGTTTTTGTTCTTCTTCATAGAAAACCTCCCAATGATCTTTTTGTGCTGTGTGCTTAATAGAGGTTTACATATAGATGGATCTTCTCCCTTACAGATGAATTTGTTTATAAAAGAATCATTTGGATATTCACACCAGTATGTGAGATTCTCCAACAGCTGGAAACGTGGTGAAGTTAGTATAAAGCTGTAGAGAGAGAGAGAAAGACATTTGTGTATCAGTGACTGTATTTAACAACATATTTCAGAGACACTTTAATTATCTGTGTGAGAAAATCAAAGCTAAAAGAGTCAGATGTGTGCTGCTCACAGTTAACCTTCAGCTCACAGATTAAACCGTTCTGTTTGCAGAATAACTTGTGTTTGTTTCCTGTGTGATCTCATGTGATGGTGGTTTTAGCTGTTCTGTACGCAGTTTGTATAAATTGATTCTGGCAGCCGTCTGTCTCAGAAAGGTAAAACCGGAATTAAAATACAGTAATGCTGTGCTAACACGTGGTCACCACACTCATAAGGTGTGAATGATATTGATAATATTCTAAACACTCAAATACGCTTTACAGGGCGAAAGATAAAAGTAACTGGTTAAAAAAGAAAAGGAGGGAGAGAGGGGAAGGACAGAACTGGAGAATGCAGTCTTGAAAGGTGGGTTTTGAGGGTCTGTTTGAAAGATAGCATGGAGATAGGGGATGGTGAGGAACCCAGAGTCAGAGTGAAGTATGTCATTGGGTGATTTTAAGTAGGGCAGTTTGAGTGAGTATCGACAACTCGCTCATGGATTGTGGACAGAGAAAGAATGATGGAGATGGGCCTGCAGTTGTTCAGGGTGTCGGGGTCGAGTCCAATGGACAATGAGGAGTTGCTTACATTGGTGATGAGTGGGGAGAGTGTTACATCTGCTTTTTTTGGAATCTGATCTTCATGGCAAATTGATTTCTCTACTGGATGTGGAAGCAAAATAATTTAGAGTAGTGGCACCACACTTTACATGTACAGTATGAAAGCTGAATTAAATCAGTTACGCCTCGATACATAAAAAGCAAAGAGAGAATATGTTTCTGAAATTTCATTTAATTCATTAGATGTGCATTGGGTTGTAAAGGTCGATTGTCAAATTTACAGGTGTACTTCCCAAAGTCCTCATGTTCTGTTAGTTTAATGGCCACCCTGAGATTTTAATTTAGCAATTTTAATGTCAGCAATTATTACTTTTTTGAAGACATTTAATAGTTGCGACTGTGTTTTAATAAACTGTCATTCATTTGTTTATTTACCAGCCTCCACTGATGGGCACCCACAGGAGGGGCTATACAAACACATTGATAATATTATTGCTGAAAGTGGCGTCTACAGTCATCAACTCCTGAACCCCTAAATATCATGTCTGAAAAGCTTTTTCTTCCACCATTACTGTACTGTTCCTCACAATCCTGCTCTAACATTTGTACATAAAACTATAAATATCCTTTCAGACTTAAAATATTTCTCTTATAGCCTGAACAGAATGGATTTTGAGGCTGAGACCAATTTCAGTGTTTACAAAAATTGGATGTCGATTATTTTTCATCATGTAAAATATATTTTTAAAATTATTAGTTTTTTTGTGACCAACTTTACTGAGTGAGACATCTTAACTGTGAAGTCAGTGCTCTACGAGCAGGGCTGTAACAAGTGTAATCTCTAAGATCAGTAGTCCAATAGCAGCAAACGTTTTACCTGTCATCAGTGAGAGGAAGAGAAGAAGAAAGATCTTCATCTTGTTGGATGCTGAGATCCTCCTTGTTGGTTGGTCTCCTGTATCTGCACAGCTCTATTTCCTGAACTTACATCTTATGATACCTAAAAACTACTCCTCAATTTTCTATCCTGCCCCTTTCATCTTTCTTCTTTAAGTTTTAGCCACATCTCCTCCCACCTTATACATCACTTCATTACACAGTAAATAGGAAATGACTGTAATGAGAGAGAGAGAAAACTTGTACTGTCCCCTGACACAGTGCAACAGTTATAACTTATGCAAACTACAAACTGTGAATGCGTACATCCTCATCATTATTCATGATCTGGTTTTAATCAAGTAAATTACGTACTTCATAGATCATAAATTGTGTATCTGCACAGGTGACTGAGGGAACAAACTAAAGACATTTTATTAGAATTTTTTTCTCCTAAAACCTGTGGATGTTAAACCTTTGGGCAGCAGTAGCTCAGTCTGTGGGGTCTTATCTTGGGAACCGGATGGTGGTTCCGGTTCACGTCCAGCACGGATCAGTCAAAAGGAGTTCAGACTGGCAGCTGGAGAGGTGCCACTTCACCTCCTGGTCACTGCTGAAGGTTCACCTGAGCAAAGCCTGAACCCCTAACTGCTCAGGGAGCCTGACTGCGTGGCAGCCCCCTCACTCTGACATGTAGAGGTCCTGTTTGTGCGTTTGTATTTTGGACCTGTGTGTGACCCTGTTGGAGGGCAGTGGAAGCAACCTATGAACATCATTAACATATTATCACCTTCAAGATGAACTTGTTCGCAAAGCAGAGTGGTCATTCATCTGTCCAGTATTCTCTCTGTTAGCTTTGTTTTGGGGCTAGAACCTCTCCTGAGAGAAGATTTGACTCTTTAGCTGCTAAATGCTCGACTGTGTTCACCAGTTAGTCTCTAACTGTGTCTGTCTCCTGTTTGCTGCTGAGCAGATAGTGAACAATGGCCTTTTAGTTTTTCATTGTCAGATAGTGTTCAGCATTTAAATGGTAGGAGATACAGCTCTTTTTAAACAGAAGCTGTAATAATAAGCTGTAAAGCTTCACATGGAAATGTTGAACAACAGTAGTGATGGCTGTGGATGAGGTCTATGTTGACACGTCTCTTACTATTATTGTTTTTTATCTCCCTCTGGCTATGAGACATTCTCACCCTTAACCAGAAAAGCTATTTAAAACCAACAGGTTGCAAACCACAGGCTCACTTAAGTCTCCACCCATAGAACAAAACCACATGAAACTGCTGCTGATGGCTGATAAAATTATATTATTATATTTATAAACAGGTTATCATGTTTAATCAGGTTTATTTGGCTGAATTAGATTAAAACGTGTGGCAGTATCTGCCTTGCCTTGTTTTATTGAGTTTTTTGTTGGCAGAAAAAAAAACACCTTCAGAGTACTCTGGCAAAAAGATAAACCTGGCACAGCTTTTGCCAGACTGCAAAAGGAAGTCTTCGGGTAAGAAGCTGAGTTGGCAAATGAAACACAAGCAAGCAGACGTTCCTTTGTAACTGGATCGCTGTATTTCTGCTGTTTATCTCACAGTCAGTGCAACCAAAGATTAAACTATTGATGCTGTGATCATTTTCCAGATCTTTTGTCAGATCCTGTGATCCTTTAACCTGATGGACTGTCAAACTGGGCTGGATCGTTGATGTCTCACCGTCATTTTAAACAGCACACCCCCACCATCACAGCCCCCCTGCATTGTTTTAACACTGTTATAGTCACTCCTTGTTCAATAATAATTAGTCATTCAACAAAACTGAATTAGAAAAGCATCACGGTCAGACTGAACATCCTCAGTCAGGTTATGATCTCAGGCTTTAGTGTCATTCTATTTTAGGTCACTTACAAAAAGCTCCACCCCTCATATTTTCTACCACACATCATTGCAGACATCAGTAAACCACAGGAAACTGTGCTTATTTGGTGATTTAAATTGAAAATGAATGTATCTAGATATTCAGCACATTAAAGTTAATTTGCTATTTGTAAAATTCTATGTGATTGTTGCATCTTTCAAGTTATTTTGATGATATCTGTAGTCTTGGTAAAAGCCATGTAGTGTTGTCTCCCACAGTGTGTCACGGTGGGATCTCAAATGGGGTCCGTCGTCTAATGTGAGTCAGTTTTGGGGGTCCTTGACATGAAAAAGTTTGAGAACCAGTGCTTCACAAAACTCAAGGAGATCATTCCATCTCACAATTTCTAGCAGCTGCAACATTTAAAGTGAGAAAGTTCACAACAATAAACAATCAACATGACTGAAATGCTCAACTTCAGAACACGGTAATTTCACCACTGTATTTCTAAATATATTGACATTATTACATTATAACTGACATTATTAAATTCACTTTCACACAGTGAGCTTGAGGATGGCAGCGCTAGGGAGTTAGAGAAAGGGACAAAGAGCAACACCAATACAGAGGGCGAATCAGAGACTGAGGAGCAAACTGGGACACAATGTCAGTCTTAATTTTACCACTAGATGACACTAAAGTAAAAAAATAAAATTAAATCCTGCATACAGTGAAATTAATAAGATTAAATGAGGAGGCTGTTACACTGGTGTTGTAAATAATAAGCAACATTTTAATGATTGTTTTCTTGTACATAAAACTATGAAATATATAATATAATAACTCAAACTACCAGTTTTAAAACAGTTTCTTTAAATTAAGTCGCTTTTATCCAAAGCTTTTTATGTCAGAGGTTGCACGCCTCTGGAACAACTAGGAGTTAAGTGTCTTGCTCAGGGACACATCAGTGGAGGGGTCACAGAGGGGGATTGAACCCAGGTCTCTTATCTTGTCCACTGCACCATTACCACCTCAGCTGTCAAGGTAATGTAAAATAATGATTTGATCCCAGTGCAGTTGTCTAGTTGGTGTGTTTAACGTCACTAAATGAGTAAATAACTGACCAAAACAAAAAGAGGAATAGCCACTTTATCTGGAAATTAAATGTGAATTCAAATGGTCAATGTAGTCGTCAAAAATATTTCTCAAAATATGTTCTCAGTGTGCAAGTTTTCACATAAAAATATCACTGAATTGTAGGGAAAGGATTTTCTTTTATTTCTAGGACTCTGATTCAGACCAGGTCAACAATATACAGTATCTGTGATAAGTTAAATCAGGTAATGAGATAATAATCAGCTGTAATATAAAGCTGAGCTTCAGAAGCAAGACAAGAAAGACTCCTCTAGTAATTACAGATCGGTGCAAAAGTCCTGTTCACACCTTGGTGACTCAAACAATGTGGATGATGAAGTGAATCGTGTGTCTCTGGATTGATAGGATTTAAGTTGACAGCGTCCAACATCTGAATATCTTGGTGAAGTTCCTGAAGTCTGAGCTGGATTCATTGTAAACAACCACATCAGCAATGAATGACCTGAAATTTTGACCATACATGTAGTAAATGTCATAAATTGACAGGGCTGATCTTTGCTCGGTGCTGCTGTGGCTTGTTGACTGTTGTGTAGAGAGGATCCTCTGAAGAGCTGGACGGCTGGCTGACTGTACAGTAGGCTGGATTTTGCTTCACAGTAGAATATTCGTAGGCAGCAGAGCTGGGTTTGAGGATCACTGTCTCACCACCAACTCTGTCAGAGCTGTTTGGAAGTTGATGCTGGAGTAATGCAGCGAGGCAGAGGGGTTTGTGGGAAAGTTGGCAGTGGCATAAATCGTGTTCATCTTATTTCCTGAGTTTGGCGTCTGCTGTATCTCCTCATAGACATGATCCTAACAGAATGAAAAATACAGTCTGAAAAAATCATATAAAATCCATATAATAAGAACTGAGTCTGAGTAACTGATATTAAATAAATACAATTTTAGAACAATAGCTTTTAATAATATTGTTTAAATAATTAAAGTTTTAAAACATTCCCATATACATTATATCATACAGTAACATATTTCCCATTGTAGTCTGCAGTGGTTTTTTGATAATTATCTTGTGGTAACAGTATAATACTTTATAGGGAGAGTTTTGTTTACAAGTTATCCTCCTTGGTTTCTGTTCAGAGGCAACAGGGAAGAAATGTGTGTGCCAGTTGGTTATCAGAGGTGGTAGTGCTCCTGCATCTAAATTTGACCACTGTAGGTAAAATATTCATAACAAACACAACAGGATCTCCACACGTAGCAAAAAGGGAGATTCTCACTGAAACAGTGAAAACTCTGCATCCTTGTTGGTCAATATTATTTTATTGTTTTTTCTATGAAATGAGAGTCCCAGAAGTTCTTTCTTATTCTTTTAACACTCATACTTGAGTAATCCAGCTATTGCACATTATTCCAGCAATATCTATTCAACCTATACAGTACCACAACACACACAAACATTCATATATACCAACAAGTCCTCAAACCTAAACGACAACATAGGTTGTTTTTACCAATATCCAAATATGACTCAAATGAGCGTTTTGGAAATCACGTGATCTAAGTCACATGACATAAACACGTGGAGTGACACAAAGGAGGCAACATACATACAATCACTGACTGTGAAGGTTAGGATGAGGTTTGGGATCTACGGGTTCTGTCAACGCCTTTAAGACTAGGGCTGCGTCCAAACTGCGTCTTTTTTGCTTAGGAAGGTTCCTAACTGAGTCAAGTGACCTGGAAGTATTTTGATTATTGTTGTTTTTTATAGGTTATGGGTAAAATCGATTTTGATCACAGAGCTGCGGGCAGAGCATATACTAGGCTATTCGCTCAGCACCCCTTCTGCACGGTCGCTCTCTCTCTCTCTCTCTCTCTCTCTCACCTCAGTTAGGCTGTCATTCTGTGGGAAACACTGTGTTTACATACAACAATTGGGATTTATTTTGATGAATGTGGGTGGGCAGGAGGGTGAGTGTGAGCAAGCATTTTCAATGTGACAACCCTGTCCATTATTTGGTAACTGTTACCCTGTCTGCCTTTTTGCTATCATTGTCAACTATCTTAAAATTTACTAGCTCCTTGCAAACTCAGCCGCTTGTTGAGAGGCAAGCGCTGGGCGCTGAGTGTTTTTTTCCGGTCACAGAAAGTGAAAAAATGTTCAGCTTGGAGCTCAACACAGCGCTGGTCAATGGTCTTACCCAGCCGTTCTATCACAGTGCTGGGGGGGCTCTTTAACCTTGGGTGGTGATGGGGAAGTGGATAAGATGCATGCCTTTCATGTGAGAGACCTGGGTTCAGATCCACTGTGAAACACCATTGTGTCCCTGAGCAAGACTCTTAACCCCTAGTTGCTCCAGAGGCGTGCGACCTCTGACATATAGAGCAATTGTAAGTCGCTTTGGATAAAAGCGTCAGCTAAATTAATAAATGTAAATGTCTTCATGCAGAACCTCATGCCTATCCTACACTTTGTGGTGACATTTTTACATTTAGTAAAATTAACTTGCCTACTTGCAGCACATCACACACATATTATAATATAAATAGCAGGTGGTAAAGGAAAAGTTCATGATAATTTTTCAATTATAGTAGTCCATCTCTGGGATGGATCTCTAATTCATTTAATTTACTATTTTAAAGATTAAACATGACAATTAACTTTAATCTTGTTATTTTCAACAAAGTTTTGTGTTGGAGTTTGTGTTATTCAAAATTTTGACACCAAGATTAAAATTTTACAGCAAATGTATAACGGTTCCACATATCAGTCATCGGTCGGCCCAAAAAATCCTTAATCGATCCTTAATGCGTTTGCATTGTACTGCCACTAGAGGTCGCTTACATCAATAACGTAAACATGAGTCGTAATTTTGTGTGGCTTAAACACGGTTATTTTTTTTCTGTAGAGGACAGTTGTATTTATACACTGACCTTTTTGTGCTGTGCTGCTGCTCCATTTCTTGTGTTCTTTAAAGGTGAAAATCCTGGAAGAAGCAAAAGTAAGATAACAATAGCTGAGTAAAAAAGCAGAAGGACATAAATGGATTAATTTCACCAATTTTTATCAAATTGAGACACTACCTCTTTAAGCCTTTAACTTTAAGCCTTAAAGCGACATTATTATTCCCATAACGCACTGAAACATGGCTGGTAGCAACTTAAAACATATTCCTGAGGACCTCTATCCATTTATCTCAGATTCATGGTCCTCGGGTCCATGCGACTGGTTTTTTATTATTATTATTAATATTATTGCTATGTCTTATAGATATATATGTGTTTATCCTTAACCTTTCCTCTCCTATACTCCTTATGTTATTCCTACTGTGATGTAAATTCCCACAACAGTACTGACACCAAATCTCGCAAAAACAAATTTTATATAATGTTACTTTAACCATCGGATCTTGCCTTTGTGTTTACACCTGGTATTTTTTCTTGTTTTCTTGTTATCCTCATTGAGATTGGATCTCTCCTAAACTGCGCATGAGTAATTTCAGGTGGAGGCTAATTCGCACCAGACTCATGCTGGTGAGTTGGGGAAAATGTAAAGTTTATACTTTGTGAAATTCTGTTTTACAACAAATTTATAATTATTTGTTTCCTCTTGTAAGTCTGGCAAATAAGTGAAGTTTTTCCTTTCTTTGTATAAAAACATTGTGTCCATTAACTTCAAGACATGAAAAAGAATCATGTTAGTCACTACAAACGATATAGAGTGTCTTCTTTGGCCTTGTTAGTCCTCACCTCCACACAGGGTGGAGCTGTTGTTAATGTGGTTTTCTGTTTACAAAATGTGAGTGTTTCTTCAAACTGGTAATAACTCTTACATGCGTAGATTAGGATCAAAATCAGCACAAACGCAGCAGCAGCACAGCTACACAGACGATCACAGTGATGACGACGTGAGGGCCACCTGCAAAATAAACCACAATTATTTTTTTTAACATGGGTCATTATCATCCACAGCTGTCTGTGTTGAGAAAATGTAAGTGGACGTTTATAGAAATTTCATTTTAACCCCCCCCCGCTCTTCTCTAGCAGAAGATTTAAGAAGTCAAACGTGCTCTCTTACCAGGACTCTCTGCAGATGCAGTAGTTGACTGGGTTGAAAAAAACAGAGATGTGGATACTGCTGGTGATACTGCTGGTGATACTGAAAAAGAAAACAATTAAATTTGGCAAGAGAACAGACAGAATAACCCTTAGAGATCAGAATGTTAATTATCCTTAAAAAGTATAAAACATGCATAGTGAAACACTAAACTAAATCTGTTTATGAATTGATCACTTGGGTTTTAGTTGTTGCTGATGAAGTTCTGCTGTCACATCACTGCAGAACGCAGCTCTGAAGAAGTGCAGGAACTTAAAACAAGTATTAAGCAGCATCAGGATTTCACAGCCATTTGAAAAAAAAGTCAAATGTTTTTTTAACAAAGCAAATTATAAGGCTTTAATGAGTTTCAGCTTAATTGCTTCTTCACATACACTATAAAGGTTCTGATTTCTTCTGCAATTTTCAATTATGATTTTGGCTTCCACAAGTTATGAAAACAAAATAATCTAGGTAAAATAATTTTTGTGAGACATTCTTTTTCGCAATGATGCTCTGCTTTGACTTGTATAATCCAGTGTGTTATGTGACCTATATGTTCAGCTCGGGCCAAGATGAAGGGTGGAGCGCTTTTGATCAAGAACAAGTAAGGAAAAACCAATTCAGCTGTTTGACGGTTGTTACACACTGTGGCAGTCCCAAAGACTGGTGCAAATAAGTTAGAAAAGAGCCTTAAGCATATGACAGTAAACAACTGTGTGGTAACATGCCCAGATCAGACAGATCTGGTCACAAAGCACGTTTTATACTGAATGAGTTAGAGAAAATTCAAAGTTCAAGAAGATCCTTTTTTTCAAAAAGGTCATCCATCCATCGTCAACCGCTTTCCTGCAAACAGCTGGAGCCAATCCCAGCTTACATCGGGCGAAACGCGGGGTACACCCTGGACAGGTCACCAGTCCATCTCAGGGCCACACATAGACGACACCAATCACATCCACACTAAGGACAATTTCGGAGACACCAATTAACCCAGCCTGCATTTCTTTGGATGGTGGGAGAAGCCGGAGCACCTGGAGAGAACCCACGCGGACACGGGGAGAGCATGCAAACTCCCCAAATCATTGACTAATCGTGTTAATTAATCACAATCTCAATATTATTAGTCAATAAGTGATTATGATTTTTTGCCATAATTGAGTAATAGGATGCTCTTGCCAGGATTGCTAAGTAAAAATAGAAAATAGATTAGAAAGAAAAAATATTAACTCAGTTGTGTCTTTTTAACTGAAACCAAAAAGTTTTTTTTACTGTTTCAGTTGACAGTGACTGAAATTGTATATCACATGCAATGACAATAAAGGCAATAAAATCAAAAATGGTCTTATCTGTTTGATGGCAGGAACAGCACAGGGTTAATAATAACATTAACAATGGCTCTGTTAATCAGTCTACAGTGTCAGGTGAGTCAGCATGAACAATATCAGGACCCTGAAACTGCAGCAGCTAAATGGAATTCAGCCCTCATTTTATTATTTACACCTGTATTTTTCCTACTGTGATGTAAAAATGTCTTCTGTGAAAAAGGTCTGATGCTGCCAAATGTTTTGCTCTTTACCAAAGGGAAACTAACAAACTAACTAACTGTGGTTCATTATAAAACTTAACTGTAACTTAGGGACTCTTTATTCACGCCAACTCAGATTCTGTCACTGCTTCTTTTGCCATGGTGAATCATAGTATTGCTGATCCAATGATGATGGCTTTATTTATTCACTATGCATGCAATTGCTGACTACAGGTTGACATATAGATGGATCTTCTCCCTTACAGATGAATTTGTTAATCGGAGCATCATTTGATATCGACACCCGAATGTGAGATTCTGTCCAATATTTGGAAACTTAGTGAAGTTAGTAATTTTAGCTGTAGAGAGACAGACAGACACTTAATTTTCTGTATGAGTAGATCAAAGCTCAAAGTGTCAGATGTGTGCTGCTCACCTTCAACCTCCAGCTGTATCTTTCTGAGAGCAGCTCTGTAACTTCCTTCATGTGTTTCCACTCCACACCGTAGACACCAGCATCATGTGAGGACACGTTACTGATGGACATGCTGAAGCTACTGTTGGTTTCTGTGAGAGTGAATGTCCCGTTTGACTTCAGAGAGGATTTTGTTGATAAAATATCCTCACAGATTGAACCGTTCTGTTTGCAGAAGAACTTGTATTTGTTTCCTGTGTATCACATGTGATGGTGGTTTTAGCTGTTCTGTACGCAGTTTGAATAAATTGTCCCTGGCAGCCGTCTGTCTCTGCAAATAAACAAGAAATATCAAATGTGAAACTGAGATACTGTGCTAACACATGATGGAAATGCAATCACTACACTCATACAGTATGTATTGGAATATGATCTTTATGGCAAATTGATTTTGATTTTGGTTATCTAAGTAGATGATGACTTAAAATAGAAAGTGACTCTACTGAATGTGAAATTGGAGTCAAAATACTTTGCATTAAGTTCTTATCATTTTAATATGTATATATATTTAAGCGCTGGATCCAAAGAATGTATTTGAATGAAAAGTGTCTCTTACCAACGTCCAATTTCACTTCCTCTGTGTCCTGGGATGAGTCCGATCGTTGGTGAAATTTACACTGATAGTCCCCGAAGTCCTCACGTTCAAGTTGTTTAATGGCCACTCTGAGATTTGTATTTTTTGGATCATGGTACAGGGAAACTCTGCCTTTGTTTTCCCACACATCCTTCTCAGAGCTTCGTATGGTTTCTTTGGGAGAAACTACATAATACTTTGATATTTTACATTTGGTTTTGGATATTTGCAGGTGAATTCAACCCATCCTGATGCACATCCCTTCACTTCAGACAAGGCCTCACAACCTGTAGATCAAAGACAAAGTTACATCATGTTAGACACTGAAACGATGTGACAGATCATCTGAATTAGCTTTCTATTAATGCAACAAACACTGTTTCTTGTATACATTTGCAGGATCTGTCAGCAGACAGCTCTTTGAATCAGTGGATCACAGACATTCAATGCTCAGTTGCACGTTTCTTTTAATTAAATGATTTGACCTTTACTTTTACACACATAATGTTATATTATTACAAGTTATTAAAGTTACCCACCTGTTAGATAATTGTGAAGCACATTTTAATTAATAATTAATTAAGCACTTTAATTTGAGCTCCTTCTACCAATTTTAAGCAGTATACAAATATTGAATACATGGTTTATAACACACTTAATGTAGTCGTAAGCTGCTATGAGGACATTTTAATAGTATCTGTCAGCAATTATTTTTTCTTATTTAAAGAAAGATTTTATATAATTGCAACTGTGTTAATATTCTGTCATTCATCATCTGTTTACAATCCACTTTTGAGCGCCCACAGGAGGGGCTATACAAACACGTAAGTGCATTGCTGAAAGTGGAGTCTAAACCTAAATCTAAAGCAACACGTGAACAGCCTAAATATCCTGTCTGAAAAGCTGATTTTGTTTATGTTTTTTTTTGTTTTTTTCTCTGTAGACTAACTAATTTGAGCTAAAGAACAATTTCCTCTGTTCATTCAGATTCATTAAACCTTTAAATGACATATTGTTGTGGCATGGTCCTTGCTAGTGAAATTGTTTATATACTGATCTTGTGTTTTAGATGCTACGAGATAACATCACAAGGGAGCTGGCTATTTAAAAAACCCCACATGAAATGTTGTCAGTGAACATTTTGCAGACATGAATTTGTCTTTTAGCCACACCGCCTCAAAGACACCTTGTTATTGTTTATTCTCTTACCATGACTGTACTGTTGTTTACAATCCTGCTGTAACATTTGTTCACAAAACGATAAATTTCTGATTTAGATTAATTCTCTTATAGCTCGACCAGAACTGGATTTTGAGGCTGAGACATTTCAGAGCACTGTATTGAGGCTGTATTATATTAAACTAATACAAAATGAGAATAACCCAAACCAGACCAACCTGTTAATTATTTCAGAAGCAGAGCTGTAACAAGTGTAATCTCTAAGATCAGTAGTCCAATAGCAGCAAACGTTTTACCTGTCATCAGTGAGAGGAAGAGAAGAAGATCTTCATTTTGTTGGATGCTGAGATCCTCCTTGTTGGTTGGTCTCCTGTATCTGCACAGCTCTATTTCCTGAACTTACATCTTATGATACCTAAAAACTACTCCTCAATTTTCTATCCTGCCCCTTTCATCTTTCTTCTTTAAGTTTTAGCCACATCTCCTCCCACCTTATACATCACTTCATTACACAGTAAATAGGAAATGACTGTAATGAGAGAGAGAAAACTTGTACTGTCCCCTGACACAGTGCAACAGTTATAACTTATGCAAACTACAACTGTGAATGCGTACATCCTCATCATTATTCATGATCTGGTTTTAATCAAGTAAATTACGTACTTCATAGATCATAAATTGTGTATCTGCACAGGTGACTGAGGGAACAAACTAAAGACATTTTATTAGAATTTTTTCTCCTAAAACCTGTGGATGTTAAACCTTTGGGCAGCAGTAGCTCAGTCTGTGGGGTCTTATCTTGGGAACCGGATGGTGGTTCCGGTTCCTCACGTCCAGCACGGATCAGTCAAAAGGAGTTCAGACTGGCAGCTGGAGAGGTGCCACTTCACCTCCTGGTCACTGCTGAAGGTTCACCTGAGCAAAGCCTGAACCCCTAACTGCTCAGGGAGCCTCTGCGTGGCAGCCCCCTCACTCTGACATGTAGAGGTCCTGTTTGTGCGTTTGTATTTTGGACCTGTGTGTGACCCTGTTGGAGGGCAGTG